GTGAGGTGGTGCAGGCTCCCACCCTGGGGGTTTTTAAGAGGAGGTTGGATGACCACCTTGCTGGGGTCGTTTGACCCCAGTGCTCTTCCTGCCATGGCAGGGGGTCGGACTAGATGATCTGCTCAGGTCCCTTCCGACCCTAGAAACTATGAAACTATGAAACCTGCAACCAGAGCACCATGTAGCATATCGCTTCTTGGACTCTTGTGGGCTAAGAACGAGTGTAGGAAGTATCTGAAGTCCTAGACTAAAGAGCCTAGGATGGAGGATGCTTGCTTGTAGTATCTGGGGGCATCTGAACCCCAAAACCTCCAGGTTTGGGCCTGCATGTAGGATGCCTACCAATGGATTTCAGAGCATCTGAAGTCCCAGGGTGATCAGTCTGAGACGGAGGATGCTCACCGGTTGTAGCACCGTACATGGTGTTTAAAACAATTGAGTTCTGCCTGCTCAATCTATATGGTTTTCGGAACGATTGAGTTCTGGTCAATTGATAAGATTTGGAACAGATTAGACTAATTTGACTCGGAACGTGAAATGTATTATAAAAAAAACAAAACAAAACCCCTTGTAGCACATCAGCCCTCATTTGTCACCTACAAGAGAGGATCGCTTGCCCAGAGATCACCTACTACCCACACAGCCAGCTCGACCCAGCTGAGAAGCAGCATAGTTTTGTGGGCCTAAGCACAGGTTTGGATCCTTTCATTATGCTTGACTGCTTGAGGACATGAGACCAGACTCAGCCAGCAGACATGATCTCAATACAGGTGGCATCCATGAGTTCACTACGACAGGGACCCACACAGCCAAGGGTGGTGGGTTCATGTGAGAGTACAGAAGGGCCTATGCTCATTTGGACCTGCATTGTCCCAGGTATGTGATGGATCTACTGAGGATCCATGTATGCAACCCATAGTGAAAATCGTTTGTGCTCAGGCTATTCTTGTTTACGTCTTACCGATTCTAGCATTTGCTGTTAACCAACAGTCACTTGTCTACCAAGCTGTCTTTGGGCCTTGGGAAACATAGAGCCACTGGAGACCCCAAATGACACAGGAAATTTCTGATGGAAATGCAACTTCTTAAAACCATCCAGCACAGAACCAGGATGGCGATGCCAGCCATGACTGGGACAGCCATGCCAACATAAAAGCCAGGACAGATCCAGTTGCACAGCAAGACAGATACTAATTGCTTTAACGACTGCACCACACATTAGCTAACAAGTCCTTACCACATCTCAGAGACGCAAGTAACTGTATGAGTTGTCCCAGACAGGGAAATGGAGGCAGAAATGTTTAAATGACTGGCCAGAGGCCACATAGCCAACAGCAGAGCTGGGAAGAGACTAAATTCAAGGATCTCAGCCACACATTTGGTCTACTAGACCCAGTTACCTCCATGGCAGCTGAGTGCTGCTTATTTCCCTAGTCATGACCACTCCATTTTTCTTTGGCCTCACAACCCCCTCGTTTGCTGTGTCCATTAAGTGTCTTTCCCCCCACCAGAGCTGCGCACAGCATGGGATGGCCTCAATCCCCACCAAGGTACTACTCAGTTATCAGAGAAATACAATTTGTATCCAGGAGATCTTTGCTACTGCCTCCAATACGACCACATAGGAGGCATCCAGCATAGTACTGGGGCAATCACCACTGCCCAAGGAAGAGGAACCAACAATACTGCCAAAGCAACCTCCTTTGGGAACCCCCCAGCCCAGTAGTGGTTTGTGCAATGTGCATGTCCCTCCCTGTTGCATTCATCCTGCAGAGAGCTTCCTTCCTCTTGAGCACTGGAGGAAGCACTGGGACATGTGGGAGTCACTGCTTATTGTCAGCTCTTGTCACCAAGGGCCTTGTTATATGTTGCACTTGAAGCCTCTCAGATTTTGATCTATGTTAGTGTTCAGTCGAACAATAGCTACAACGTTCAGGTTAAAAACCTTCTCCGACTG